GTTACAAAATATTTTTCGTTCAAAAATATTTTTCCTTAAGAAATATTTTTCGTGAAAAAATATTTTTCATCAGGAAATATTTTTCGTGAGAAAATTTTTTTGTTAGAAAATATTTTTCGTTAAAAAATATTGTTCCTTAAGAAATATTTTTCGTTAAAAAATATTTTTCGGGCAATAATATTTTTCGTAAGAAATGTTTTTCGTTATTTTTTGTTAATTTAGTCTGTGAGAGGGAACGCGCGTATGTCCCTTATATTGTCTTCCTGCATCTCTGATTGGTCCGTACTTGTAACTCTTCTATTATGTTTGTGCTTCTACACCCATTTAATTTTTTTTGATTTCTAATCTCTTTTAGCAAAAAAAAATCACCTACATGCTGGAACCGATGCAAGACGAGATTAACATCCTTCAGACTAACATCAATACTAACTGCAACTCAAGAGATGGTAACGACTGTGATGACCTCATCGCCGAAGTACAGCGTCTTCGAGATGAAAATTCTTCACTGCTTAAGATAATCGAGGAGCTAACAACTCAACAGAATGCTAGCAATTCAAAACAACTAAACACCACCAACCCACCTGCACAACAGAACCAGCACCACTTACAACAGTTTTTTAACTTAGTTCCTGTCATATAGTAACCTGTCTTAAAGTAACCCAGGGTTATTTTTTGAACTTAGTTCCTGTTATATAGTAACCTGTCTTAAAAGTAACCCAGAATTATGTAATTTAACAAAATAAAGACATTATAAAACGTGTGTATTATTTGTCTCGTAGACCATAAGACCCTTTATGCTCTGGGCAGACCTGTTAAACGGGCTGACAGATATAATTGGACTAAAAAGATACAAAAGCAAGGCAAGACTTATTACAATTCTTTTAAAACAGCCAAAACGCTTGCACAAACTATACATCTACCAGAAAAAGGCATTTAAAATAACAAAACAAGTATTCACATTTCTTAAACACAGGAAAAGACTTTAGTATTCATATTTCTTAAACACAGGAAAAGACTTTAGTAAAATTTCTTTTCAAACAACTAAAAATTGCTCAAACTATACTTAAATAAGAAAAACGTATTTAGAGCAACAATAGGTCACAAATTATAGTGTAGGCAAGTAAAATAGCCCATCTACATGTATGCCCATAAAATAACAAAACAAGTATTCACATTTCTTAAACACAGGAAAAGACTTTAGTATTCATATTTCTTAAACACAGGAAAAGACTTTAGTAAAATTTCTTTTTAAACAACTAAAAATTTAAAATAGCCCATCTACATGTATGCCCAGTAAAACACATATCTTTTTAGCTCAGTGTTTCCGCCAGACTGCAGCTGAGAGGCCGTCCAGTTGGGAAGGGCCGGGTCGCGAAAATTAATTAACTTTTAATAGGGAACACGTCGCGAAAATTAACTGAGGGGGCGGGGCATTTGTTTACACTTGTTTACAAGTTGAAACTGTCCACAAGCATTCCACATTTTTTTGTATTGACATAAAAACACTGTTACAGATGGAAAACGTATCGTCAGGAAATTATACTGTTGCAAAACTCTGCTGCAAAACTCCAAACATCGGCATAATTACAAATTATAACCTCCGGTAGCGCCCGCGCTAGCCGGATTTTTAATAGTGAAGAGCCTTGCTTCGTTCGTACTCGTACTTCTTCCGTACATTTTCGCTACGAATTACTAGTTGATATCAAGCCAAAAATACATCAAAACATGTCAAGAAACGTCATCTTATCTCTCATACACGAGACAAATTTTGAAAAATAATTGGCTGTATCGTAGCTTTCATTGTTGTTTCATTCAACAAAAATGCTCCTTGATTGTAAAATGATCACTCATCTGTTGTCTCCAGTACAGTGTCAAATGGTAGCGTGATCGTAGCGTGCGAAAAATCGGCGTTAAAAGTCAGAAAATCGCCGGAAAAATAAATTTGCAGCGCACATTCTCAACCTCGCCGGAGAAGGAAATACGCGCCATTTTGTCATTAAATATGTAAGTAGCAGCGTGAACTCTACGCTCTGATTGGTTGACCTCATATGACCCGCGCTCTGATTGGATAGAGCCATCTTTGCCGGCATAGCTGCAGAATTTGTTTGTTGGCGAAGAGAGTTACACTACGCTACTTTCTACGGTGTTTCTACCGCTAATTAGTAACATTCAATTAAAGAAATTCATTATGAAGAATTTTTGGGAAAATGTATGCATCCATATGCCGATTTGTGGTGCCTTTCGCGTATTCAAGCAAGCCGGAAGTGTTAGCGAACCGCGGCGTGGATAGCGAACTGCGGCGTGGATTTTCATGCAACCCGCCCGCTACAAGACCATCAAAAACGTAACTCCCAAAAGAGAATTTTAACATCCGGAAATAATTCTGTTCGAGGAAAAATGTTTGTGGATACATTTTACCGGATGGAGACTTGAAAGACGGGTTTTAATGAGATTAACGTATGCGAAAGGCGCCGACATCAATTGTTCGTCAGCATGATAACAATAGCAAAACAAACAACGTGTGTCTTTCTTGCCTTGGACGGCGTCCTCGTCTACAGCAACAAAACAAAGACTGTCAATTTCTCTGATTTTTCCGAGTCTCGAAATTTTTTAAGAGGACGGCCTCTGTCCGAGTTCAGGCCGTCCAAAACGACACCAGGCCGTCATATGACGGGTGGACGGCCCTCTGGCGGAAACACTGTTTTAGCTCAAATAGCCTGTGAAAACAAAGCAACTACTTGCCAAAAACCAATTCCCTAGGGAATGCATTCGTTTAATTCGTGGAATTCCTAGAATATTTTCGTCCCGATCGCAGTACTATACTATCGGCTCCGCCCCTGAGGCGTCGCCAAAAAAATAACTTTAGGAGTCATAACCACTGACAGGGAAATGACCAGACTAACATGGGGGGGAAAAGGCATGGGGGGGAAACGACCTGCTACCATTATGATGCTACGATATGAAAAAAAATCGTTCATGGCTGCACCAAGGCGAAGCAATCAAATTATCAGAATATGGGTCTGACAGCTCAAATAAAGCAATACCCTGAGGTTGAATAAATGTTCATGAATATAACTTCAGAGTTGAACTTGTTTCAGCTAAAAGAACTGGAGAAAAGTGACAGAACTGTTTTGAAGATGGGGAGGGGGGCAGTATTCATGACAGAGCAAAATGAGTCCATCACAGAAAGGCCCAACTTCCAACCTTGACTTTGCAGGAATTTAACCCTGCACGTGACACCTACCGCCGTGGAGCCCTTCTTCACGGCCTCCTGTGCATATTCCACCTGGAATAAGTGTCCGTCCGGTGAGAAGACGGTGATGGCGCGGTCGTATCGGCTCGACATCTCTCCCACGTTTTCTTTTCTCTGTACCCACAAAATCTAAAATGTCCGCCTGTGAGTTCACTGCGCATGAGCGAACTGAAAAGCTTGATGGGAATCTGGACGATACCAACTACTCACCCTGGATAGGTGAAAAGGTAGATATAGTACAGCTGTTTTCCTTATTACAAAATAAATCAAAACCTATAATGGTTTTTATATACATATATATACACTAGTCTTTTAATATGTACTAATTTCTTTATCATATTATAATTTGAAGCGAAATCTATAAACATTTAAATCTAACGTCCCCCCCCATGAAATCGTACCTGATGATTTGTACCGTTCTATGTGCTGAGGGAGGTATCGCAGGTCGTTTTTTAGGGCGGTCAGCCACGGTGAAGAGCCACACTGCCATTGGTCAGCTATATAGAATGGTTCAGTGCGGTGTAGAATGGTGCCATTCTATTGGTTGACATAATATTGAACGACGGAAACACTGTAGTTTCACCCGTAGGTGACCTCGGCGATTTGTGCTGTCGGTTTTCCGGCTTTTAAGCCAGCGATACCTCGAAAGACCAGCGATACATCCTTGTACAAGTAATATATGTACGGATGTTAGGTCTGGGGACAAGGTAAGACACTGTACAGGTTCGGCTCTTAGGCTGTTAGGTGTAGGGACAAGGAAAGAGCAGAGTAAAGTTGTCCAAGCCGGGTAGGAGCTCTGCTCTAGTTTCGGCCGCTCTTCATGCTTCAGTTGACTGTACAGGAAATGTATGCACGCACGTCTCTTAGGTCTACGAACCCGGTAAAGCACCGTACAGGTAATATATGCACGCCTCTTAGGTCTAGGGACCAGGTAAGGCACCGTACAGGTAATATATGCACGTCTCTTAGGTCTGCGGGCCAGGTAAGGCACTGTACAGGTAATATATGCATCTAGGAACCAGGTAAGGTACCGTACAGGTAATATATGCATATAGGGACCAGGTAAGGCACCGTACAGGTAATATATGCACGTCTCTTAGGTCTGCGGGCCAGGTAAGGCGCTGTACAGGTAATATATGCACATCTCTTAGGTCTGCGGGCCAGGTAAGGCACCGTACAGGTAATATATGCACGTCTCTTAGGTCTGCGGGCCAGGTAAGGCACCGTACAGGTAATACATGCACGTCTCTTAGGTCTAGGGACCAGGTAAGGCACCATACAGGTAATACATGCACGTCTCTTAGGTCTGCGGGCCAGGTAAGGCACCATACAGGTAATATGTGCGTCTAGGAACCAGGTAAGGTACCGTACAGGTAATATATGCACATCGCTTAGGTCTAGGGACCAGGTAAGGTACCGTACAGGTAATATATGCACGTCTCTTAGGTCTAGGGACCAGGTAAGGCACCGTACAGGTAATATATGCACGTCTCTTAGGTCTAGGGACCAGGTAAGGCACCGTACAGGTAATATATGCACGTCTCTTAGGTCTAGGGACCAGGTAAGGCACCGTACAGGTAATATATGCACGTCTCTTAGGGACCAGGTAAGGCACCGTACAGGTATTATATGCATCTAGGAACCAGGTAAGGTACCGTACAGGTAATATATGCACGTCTCTTAGGTCTAGGGACCAGGTAAGGCACCGTACAGGTAATATATGCACATCTCTTAGGTCTAGGGACCAGGTAAGGCACCGTACAGGTAATATATGCACGTCTCTTAGGTCTAGGGACCAGATAAGGCACCGTACAGGTAATCTGAGCATCTAGGAACCAGGTAAGGTACCGTACAGGTAATATATGCACGCCTATTAGGTCTAGGAACCAGGTAAGGCACCGTACAGGTAATATATACATAGCTCTTACGTCTAGGGACCAGGTAAGGCACCGTACAGGTAATCTGAGCGTTTAGGAACCAGGTAAGGTACCGTACAGGTAATATATGCACGCCTATTAGGTCTAGGAACCAGGTAAGGCACTGTACAGGTTATATGTACATAGCTCTTACGTCTAGGGACCAGGTAAGGCACCATTTAGGTGATATTTGTGTAGTCTTTTTATGTAGACACCATACAGGTGATATTTGTTTGGTCATTTTATATGAGGAGGAGGTTAGACACCATAACATTAGGTAGTAATTTATGTGGCCCTGTTATGTTATGTAGCAACTAGGTAAGTCACTGCACTTACCTAGTAAGTAATATTTGTGTTACTCTTAGTCTTTGGGACCTTTGATTATTTGGTGTTTGGACATTTTCATATATGTATGTTGATGGCTTACAACATTTTCTTTTTTTTTTCAGCATATTGCTTGTTGAATATCTTAAATGCCAGAGAAGATTGGATACCCCATTTAGGTGTGATGAGGTATCCAAGGAGACGAAGAAGAAGAGAAGCTGACTAGAATGGTTCGAAGTATGGCTTTAGCAGGGTTGGGCTTAATTCATAACAACAACATAATTGCCGAACTTAAGTTATATTAGATAAAGTTCATACCGGTACTTACATGTGTAATAGTCAGTTTCTGAAACATTTATAGAATATACTAGTAGTGACTAGTATTTAGATTACATTCTGCTGTTTTGAATTTAATTCTGTAAGACTAGTACAGAACATGTACATTCTTCGCTCAATACAGTTATTAAAGTCAAACTACACCTATTTTCACTCTGTTTTTCAATTGTCTTCCTTGTATATTGCCTTTGAAGTCAGGATAAAGATACGCAAATGCACAAAATCAAAGCTGTCACATTTACTCAAATATTATTAGCTGTATACGGCCACTGGGATTTCTTAATATGCCTCTTGCTATGACTGACAAAAAACCCTTGAGCTGATGAATAAGCATGACTACATGATTGGTTGAGCATGATTACATGCTAGAAGTATGTGACTTATTAAGTGTAATTATTTCCCAAAGACGACATTTGGAGTAAGACAAAACTTGATAAGTTGACGTGATGATTGATAAAAAAACTTGTACTACTTACTTGTAGGTCTCCTCAACTTAGAGAGTGGCCTGCATCAATGTCAGGACTAATTAAACGATTATATTTGGACAACAGTTGTCTATTTGCTCAATGTGGGTGCCAAGCCAATCACAGAAATGTGGATTTTTCATGAAATGAGTCCTAGTAGGATAATGGTTTAAAACAATCTTAAGATTGTTACAAAGAATCTGAAGATTGTTACAAATCAATCTCAGAGTCAGAACAATCTGAAGATTCTTTGAAAACATCTGAAGATTCTATGAAACCATCTGAAGATTTTATGAAACAATCTGAAGATTCTTTGAAACAATCTGAAGATTCTTTGAAACAATCTGAAGATTCTTTGAAAACATCTGAAGATTCTATGAAACCATCTGAAGATTTTATGAAACAATCTGAAGATTCTTTGAAACAATCTGAAGATTCTTTGAAACAATCTGAAGATTCTTTGAAAACATCTGAAGATTCTATGAAACCATCTGAAGATTTTATGAAACAATCTGAAGATTCTTTGAAACAATCTGAAGATTCTTTGAAACAATCTGAAGATTCTTTGAAACAATCTGAAGATTTTTCTAAAAATCTGAAAACAATCTTCAGATTTTCCAGAAAATCTTCAGATTTTCTAGAAAAAACTGTGACGCCTCCCGCTGGGGTCATTATGATCCGTTGGGTGGCAAGAAACTTTGTCACAAAATATCAACTTTGTAAGTATAAGCTGTGAAGGGCTACAAACATTTGTCCAAAGTGCAATATTTTGTCCAAAATTAATCTGTCGGGTGTTAAAAGAAAAATTTGAGTGCAACCCCCATAAAGGAAGTGGTCATGCCACTGCAAGGTTCTTGACAGATGTATTTAAAAGTTATGTCAATTTCATATTGTTAACCACTAAGTCTATCTCATTTTCTAGAAAGGAAAACGCAATTTTGCGTGATGCGGTAAAATTGACATAGAATTGTCCATGCCATGGGAAACAGCCGTTTGAAGGCGACCTCGCTTCGCGCGAGGTTGAAATGTGTCGGTTCCCGTATCTCGTCTAATACTGGACGGATTTTTCTCAAATTCGGCTGGTATGTTTATAAAAGCTCACAAAGTTACTGTATGAATTCCCATACTGATGTCGTAATTAGTCATTGAGTTATTCACAAAATTCAGATTTGCGTAATCAAGGCATAGATCTCACAACTTTTCAAAATAAAAGTTTACATTCCTCCGAAACGAATTAATGCAACAATTGAAAAACGATGTGGTGATACCACTGAAAGGTCCTTGCCAGACCTATGTAGAAGATTGTGTCTATTTCACAATGCAAATCTCTAACTCTACTTTATTATTACAATATCGTACATATCCAGTAGGACTTTTGGGCATGGCCGAAAAATGAGGACAAATGAATTGCTTGTAGCTTTGCGAGAATTCAAGACAGAGCAAATCTGTTTACAGCAGAGATAGACCAGTATTTTAGGATACTTATGTCCAAATTTCATTCAAAAATATCATTTTTTTCTCGGTCTAGAAAGGAAAACGCAATTTTGCGTGATGCCGTCAAAATCGACCTAAAATTGTCTATTGTCTATGCGAAACTTAGCCGTTTGAAGGCGACCTCGCTTCGCGCGAGCTGAAAACGCGTCAGTTTCTGTATCTCGCCTGAAACTGATTGGATTTCTTTCAAATTCGGCTGTTATGTTCATGCCAGCTTAAGAAGTTACTGTATAAGTTCCCATGCTGATGTCGTAATTAGTCATTGAGTTATTTACAATTGAAATGTCTTCATGAAATCATAGATCTCTCACAACTTTTCAAAATAAAAGTTCACGTTCCTCCGAAACGAATAAGAGTAACCGCTGAAAAAGGACGTGGTGATATCACTGAAAGGTCCTCAATAGGCGTATATAAAAGATTATGTCTATTTCATAATGTAAATCCCTAACTCTACCTTATCATTGCAATACCGCACATTAAAGGGGAATTTGGGGGGCATGGCCGAAAATAAAGAAAGATGAATTGCCTGTAGCTTTACGAAAATTCAAGATAGAGCAAATATGTTCACAGCAGAGATAGATACGTATGTCAGGATACTGTTGTCCAAGTTTCATCCAAAAATATCATTTTTTTCTCGGTCTAGAAAGGAAAACGCAATTTTGCGTGATGCCGTCAAAATCGACTTAGACTTGTCTATGCGAAACACAGCCGTTTGAAGGCGACCTCGCTTTGCGCGAGCTGAAAACGTGTCAGTTTCTGTATCTCGCCTAATACTGATTGGATTTCTTTCAAATTCGGCTGGTATATTCATGACAGCTTACGAAGTTACTGTATGAGTTCCCATGCGGATGTCATAATTAGTCATTGAGTTATTTACAATTGAAATGTCTTCATGAAATCATAGATCTCTCACAACTTTTCAAAATAAAAGTTCACGTTCCTCCGAAATGAATAAGTGCAACCACTGAAAAAGGACGTGGTGATATCACTGAAAGGTCCTCAATAGGCGTATATAAAAGATTATGTCTATTTCATAATGTAAATCCCTAACTCTACCTTATCATTGCAATACCGCACATTAAAGGGGATTTTGGGGGGCATGGCCGAAAATAAAGAAAGATGAATTGCCTGTAGCTTTACGAAAATTCAAGATAGAGCAAATATGTTCACAGCAGAGATAGATACGTATGTCAGGATACTGTTGTCCAAGTTTCATCCAAAAATATTAATTCCTTCTCGGTCTAGAAAGGAAAACGCAATTTTGCGTGATGCGGTCAAAATCGACTTAGAATTGTCTATGCGAAACGTAGCCGTTTGAAGGCGACCTCGCTTGGCGCGAGCTGAAAACGTGTCGGTTTCCATTACTCGTCTAAAACTGGACGGATTTTTTTCAAATTCGGCCGGTATGTTCATGACAGCCTACGAAGTTACTGTATGAGTTCCCATGCGGATGTCATAATTAGTCATCGAGTTATGTTCAATTGAAATTTCTTCATGAAAGCATAGATCTCTCGGCACAACTTTTCAAAATAAAAGTTTACATTCCTCCAAAACCATTAGGTGTAACCAATGAAAAAGGAAGTGGCAATACCACTGAAAGGTCATCAACAGACATATATAGAAGATTATGTCTATTTCATAATTTAAATCCCTAACTCTACATGTATCTTAGTATTGCGATGCCGCACATTAAAAGGGAACTTTTGGGCATGGCCGAAAATGAAGCCAAACGAATGGCCTGTTTCTGCAAAAAGGAATGAAAGAAGAGCACATCTGTTAACAACGCACGCAGATATATCAGTATGTCAGGATACTAATGTTCAGAATTCATCCTAAAGTATCACTTTCTTCTCGGTCTAAAAAGTTCGCAACTTCATGTGATGCGGTAAAAATCGACCTAGATTTGTCTATGCGAAACATAGCCATTTAAAGGCGACCTCGCTTGGCGCGAGCTGAATGTAACGTGTCGGTTTCCGAATATCTCGCCTACAATTTCTTTGAAATTCGGCTGGTATATTCATGGAAGCTTATAAAGTGATTGGATGAATTCCCTGTCTGATGCCCTAATTGGTTATTGAGTTATTTCCTGTTGACATTTGCATCATTAAAGCAAAGATTTATCTAAACTACTACGGCCCACGGAAAGATTGAGTGCTACCATTGAAAGGGGTTTCAAGGCTGTCATTTTCTGAAGTTTTCATCATGTTAATCCCTTAATCCTACAAAAACCTTTCATTATACAGTCCTTTTTGTCTTTACACAGTCACTCCTATCAAGTACTGACAATAAAAGTCTAGTGAAACAAGGGTGAAAAGGTGTATTGCATCTTTAATAATGATTGAATACTGTGAAACAAATACACAATGTATCATCAATATACAGGGAATGTCTACAGGCACTACAAGTTATGAATCTAGTTTCTATAAGTTAGTATAACATGTTATGCTTTCAACGGTTTTAGAAAATATTCTTACACATGCCACTCAGACAAATAGAAAACAAACATACAAACGATCAAACACAGAATTGTTGTACAGTTCAGCACTACAATCCACCTCTAGTTATTCTACTTTTTGGAGAAAGAACCTGACAGAATCAAGATAACATAAGTCAGGGTTCAGCATTCATGTTCTTGTTATCAACTAAAGCAGGCACTTCCAACAATTCGAGTTTGTGATGCATTAATCAGTTTCTCCTTTCTGGCAAATGCCCTGAAAAAATATTACAGGTGACAGATCAGGTCAAAAATCAAAATATGAAAAATACAAATGACCGAAAAAATATAAATTGTATGATGTTACCACACAAATATTTCCTCTACGGAGCCTTACCTGGTCCCCAGGTAAAAGAAACATGCCCATATCACCTGTACGGAGCCTTACCTGGTCCACAGGTAAAAGGGCCATGCCCATATCACCTGTACGGAGCCTTACGTGGTCCACAGGTAAAAGGGCCATGACCATATCACCTGTACGGAGCCTTACCTGGTCCACAGGTAAAAGGGCCATGCCAATATCACCTGTACGGAGCCTTACGTGGTCCCCAGATAAAAGAACCATGCCAATATCACCTGTACTGAGCCTTACCTGGTCCACAGGTAAAAGAACCATGCCCATATCACCTATACGGAGCCTTACCTGGTCCACAGATAAAGGGCCATGCCCATATCAACTGTACGGAGCCTTACCTGGTCCACAGATAAAGGGCCATGCCCATATTACCTGTACGGAGCCTTACCTGGTCCCCAGGTAAAAGAACCATGCCAATATCACCTGTACGGAGCCTTACCTGGTCCACAGGTAAAAGGGCCATGCCAATATCACCTGTACTGAGCCTTACCTGGTCCCCAGGTAAAAGAACCATGCCAATATCACCTGTACGGAGCCTTACCTGGTCCACAGGTAAAAGGGCCATGCCCATATCACCTGTACGGAGCCTTACCTGGTCCCCAGGTAAAAGAACCATGCCAATATCACCTGTACGGAGCCTTACCTGGTCCACAGGTAAAAGAACCATGCCCATCTCTCCTGTACGGAGCCTTACCTGGTCCCCAGGTAAAAGAACCATGCCCATATCACCTGTACGGAGCCTTACCTGGTCCACAGGTAAAAGAACCATGCCCATATCACCTGTACGGAGCCTTACCTGGTCCCCAGGTAAAAGAACCATGCCCATATCACCTGTACGGAGCCTTACGTGGTCCACAGGTAAAAGAACCATGCCTATATCACCTGTACGGAGCCTTACCTGGTCCACAGATAAAAGAACCATGCCAATATCACCTGTATGGAGCCTTACCTGGTCCCCAGGTAAAAGAACCATGCCAATATCACCTGTACGGAGCCTTACCTGGTCCACAGGTAAAAGAACCATGCCAATATCACCTGTACGGAGCCGTACATTTACGTGGAGTACAGACTCGGGTGCGGCAAACCATGGAGATCTATGGGCAAACTAATAACTGCACAATGCAAAATTCAGTACGTCGTAGAAGGTTAAATCAAGGACATTATACTGTCCTTGGTTAAATATACAAGATTTTAAATCTCCTTGAATATAATACTAGTATACTTTTAGCCATATAACGTGATGTTTTGGCGGTAGTTCCCCAGAGCTAAAATCCACTCAAATCTGTGCGGTGCCTTTCCTGGTCCCCAGAGCTTATAGCCACAGAAATGCAGTAAATATAGTTGTAAAAGCTGACGTTTTTGCACCTAAAATCGAGGCAAAGACGTCGGTAGCCCTCCCCACACCAGCGAAACCGCTATTGCAGGCGAAACTATTGCACCCCGTTACTGTTTTTGATCGACCAATGGGATTGTGTCGATTATATAGCATTGACCAATAGGAGTGTGGCTCTTCCATCGTGGCTGACCGAACTGCGGAGCTGACTGCAATACCTCGCTGAGGAAGAAGAGAGGGAAAGCCTTTGTTGTTGTAGATGCCCATGTCTCATTTTCCCAGGTCCTGCAAAGCTCAACGATGTCAGTAGCGTTCGTCTCGCACCGCCAGCGGCCTAAGGAATGGCCCAACCAGGCATCTATCCAAAAGGTAGGACACACAGCGCCCTAGTGTACCCTGTAATAGGATCGGGAGGAGATGAATTTTGGGTCGTTTTGGTGGTCGATGCGCCATGACTGAAGTCGTTTTCATGTGTTGATGAAATAGACACGAAAACAATGGATTTCACACACACGTCCACGTGCTGTTGATGTGTTGATGCGGCTTCTCCAGAGCGATCTTGTATTTCCCGCCACGGAAGACTATTTGACTTCTCACACGCTCGTGAGATTTGTTTAGTGCCCCCTAATTTGAAGAGGGGGCATTGTTAATTTATGGGTGGTTACGTTCTGGATGAATAGCGTGTTATCAGAATATCACTCGTGCACTTAGCTTTGGGCAATTCACTCGCGACTATTGGATTCGTAAATGGCGCGTGCAAAGTGTGTGCTATTGATACATGTGTACCAGCCAAACATATGTCGTTTCTTTGGTTCACAAGATTTGCAAAATCAACCCATTAAGATATCTTATTTCTTAAATGACCTTAAATTAATTAATATGCCTCTGATTATTTCCATTCTAATGCAACATCATTCATTAGACTATGACTTACTAAGGACACTATGAAGAACACAAGTATATGACATGCAACATATTTTCTTTCTTTTCAGTTGTTGGATGAGAACAACCAACTGATCCAGTGTATTGTGGACTACCAGAACAAAGGCAAGGCAGCAGAATGTGCCCAGTGAGTACAGTACCTCAACATGTCTTTGTTGTTCCTGTAGTTCAAATTATAGCAGTTCCAGTAGGTCATACTAACTAGCATGCGGTACACAAGACTATGAAAGCATGATGTGCACACATACATATCTCTTCCTGAAAAAAAATGAACACACTTTTTTGTTGACTTGTAAAAGAGAAGACATAGTAGAATGTCTTTGCACACATAGACGAAATTTGGCTGATAGACTAAGCTTAGTTAGATGACATCTTTCTCCATATCTTAAAACGCCGATTTTTGTTAATCAAAGATGACAGATTGGGCAAAACATTTCGTCGCAATCAGTGGTAAAATTCCGTCAAATGGCAGGAACACTGGCTTGGCAGCTGCATGTTCATATTCTTATTTAACAATATAATGTTGTAACAATTGTGGCTAGATATTTTTTTTATTCCGACATATATTATAATCACCAGACGTGGTGACGGCACACTCAAGTTTTTTCAACTTATATTAATGCCGCCACCAACACGGGACAAATACATGACAGGACAATACTCATTTACACCTGAGCTAAGTGAGGAAAGTCGTGTAAAGTGCCTTTCCCAAGGGCACAGGATCGGTGGCATGTCAGGACTCGAACCCGGGACTTCTTGGTTCCGAGTCGCACACTCTGCAGCTACACCACACGACCCCACATTAGGCTAGGTATTGTAGTAAGAAATGTCAGTTATATACATGTATGTGTTATCAGTGCAGCAGGTGTGTCAACAGTGCTTCACTCTCATGCAATGTACATTATTACAGGTACCAACAGATCCTACACAGGAACCTGGTGTACTTAGCAACAATAGCAGACTCCAACATGAACCTACAGTCACTTCTACAGGTCAGATAGGGGGCAATTTGATGTGCTGGTCTGTGTAATTTTTTTGGTAATCTATATGGATGTCTAAAGGACTCGAAACATGTAACTGGTATGTTATATTTTATCTGATTCAGATCATTCTGAAAAGTGGTCAGCAGAACAATTTAGTATTTCATTAATAAACAAACAAATAATTTATCTTTACTCTTGAACTACTCTTTCATTATGCTGATGTACATGTATATGCCTTTCTGTGCTAATGTCAAGTAATGATATTATTATTAGCCATCATCATTGCTTAGCTTGCAGTTTTTCAAGTGGTTGCTAGGTGTCCTCACTGAGCTTGTCCTCTATTGGTAGACGCCGAACCAGAACCCTTCACCAAATCCTGGAGGCATGCCGCCATCATCCATGAACGGACCACCCCCTCCTGCCTCCCAGGGGGGGAACATGGGGCCCCAGGGGTCCATGCCTCCTCCGCAGGGGGGTGAAATGTCAGGGAACCAGGGAGGACCGCCCATGGTACCCCCCTCCTCTACACCAGGACCAGTGTCTTCAGCCAGTAATAATTTCATGCCAGGTACAATATGAATATGTCCTATATTAATTGTTTGCTGTTGACCGAGCCAAAGAAAAACTACAACTGAAAGCCACTCAACTTCATATAGATTCGCATTGTACTGATATTTTTCAATAATGTTGGTTGATTGAAGTAACTTTTGTATCCTATAGCTGTATGTTTGTTGTCCTGTCATGGAAAAACTTTCCGTAAACGTAAACAAACAGTTATGATCTTATGTGTATGTATGATTTTGACTCACTCAGGTAATAACCAGGGGCCAAATCACAACCAGCCAAGCCAAATGCCACCAGCTAGTAGCTATGGCAACCAGCCAGGGTACAACCCACCCATGTCAACATCCAACCAGAACCAGCAGGGTATGAATAATTATAACCGTGGACCAATGGGACAAGCTCCTCCAACTGGTATGTGCCATATATGGATGTCCTATGAATATGTATGCATGTGAAACTGTGGTGTGTGGATGAAAACTATGCTAATGAGCAGTGGTTTGGTGAAATGTAGTAGGCTTTTGGCAAAAAAAAAGGTTTCCCAGCTGTTAGTTCACACATGTGGTCTGGGGTTTTCGTCAGAATTTGTGGCGAAATTTGGATTGCAACCATAATTTGTGTTCTGGCATTGTACACTTTTATTTCCTTAACTTAAGTCCATTTTTGGACACTATCATTTTCTTCCTTAATGTTTGCAATCCAAATGGTGGGCAAGTTCTTTTCTACTCCTATATTCTTCTTTATTTTTTAATGAAGCTTATTTAGATATTAATTTTACTTTTTGTTTATTCCTTTTGATTCATTCATACATAGTATGATTCTACAACAGATCTGAATATCTTAGTAAACACACCTTTAGTGACATTAATTTGAATTGTTCTGATATTCTGTACCAATTGTATTTCTGGGCTTTTCTCCATTCTTCTGTTTTATGAAGTTTTCTTTTCCTTCTTTTCTCTCATTATTCCATCCATCATCACTCCTTCCTTTTCCATTTTTCAAGTCTGATCTTTCTTTTTGGCAGCACCTCTGGGGTGGAGCCTTTTCCCCTGTGATTCCCCTCTCCCTTATGTAGAGTAGTTTCTTTGTGTTTGGACTTGCATGTAATTTGAGTTCTGCCCACCTTCCCAGCCACAAAGCCAAACCCCAGCTCACAGCCAGGCATACCGCCCCAGTCTGTGTCAGTGGGGAGTACAGGTGTCGTACAGCAGAACGTGGGGAACGTTCTGGGAAAGTTGATAAGGATGCCGCCCGCTCACAGACTTACCAACGGGCAGCAAGGTGTGTACCGAGCACCTACTAGTCGTCATGTGGTCCTTATAGGTGCAGGGCTGGAAATACTTTCATTTTTTCTCTGTTTTCTGAAATATTTGATTCATGAAACTAAGCCTGACATTTCTTTTGCAAATTGCAATGTCAAAAATGTTTATGCAAATTATGGGTGGGTATTTCAAGCCCTGTTGGTGAGAGGAAGAGGATGAATGCAGAAGTGTGTGATGTTGCTTAAAATATTTTGTAGTCCAACTTGATTTTTTATTTCTTGAAAAGAGTATTTCTGGAAGTTGGGAGGTTTAATGCTAAGATGTTAACCAGCCTGATATATTGATTTTATTGCACCAGTGGAAGCATGTTGCTCCACCACTGCAGAATGCCTCTGTATGTGTGTGTGTATGACTGTGTGTGTATGTGTGTGTGCGTGTGTATGAATGTGTGTGTGCGTGTGCATGCGTGTCTGTGTGTGTGTAATAAGTGTTTGTGTGTGTGAATGGCTAAACAAATTTGGCTGAACATTTTTTTCCAGCAGTGCCAGCGAGCCTGTTCTCAGGTTATGTGATCATCAGGGTTTCTGTCTAAATCACTGTGGTATCTGTTGGGGTTTAACAACTGTTGTCGGGCAGAATACTTTTTTCACGTTCTCTCAGCCATCTGTAAAAATAGATCATACTTTTAAGCAGAGCTCACTGGGAAAATCAACAAAGAATGTTATATTTGATAGGAAATTCTGACCCCAAGTTATGTTTAAGAAAAGGGTATAACTTGAAAGTTGTGTGTGTTTCTTTTAATGTCTGCTGTTATGCCAGCTATCTTTAGGGGGACCTAGATGACAGTATTTTTTAAAAATCCACACTGAAGCAAAACAACTACAACAGCTAGCACTGTTAGCTACATGTACACTATAGGTTAAAATCATGGGATAAAGAAAGTCATGACTATTTGGGAATGTGGATTACTGGAGTATGAAATACATCATATACATGGAGATTCAGTGTCTGCTATTGAATGTATTGTACAGTAGCCATATTTTCTTCATTCCAAGAGAGTGGAGCACCGGTACTGTTTTTGGTTCATCATTAGTATTCCTGCAGTTTAGTGTGTTGCAAGTGGACAGTCACTGCCTGAGGGGGCGAAGTCTGCCATCTATTATTTCTAATGTTTGTAACAATTGTATATGTGGTAAGGAGCAATATTCAGAAGATGAGGTATCTTCATGACCATCATGCCATGTCTCCACCAGTCTCACAACCACTACCAATGGGAGGACAAGGTGTAAACACATTCAGTCCACCCCCGGGACAACAGCCAATGGGGAGCCAGAATAGTTACAGCGTTAGAGGACCAATGGGACATTCCTCCCCAAATGGCATGAACCAAGGTGTGTGGTAGTGATAGAAGGGAAAAATCAAGGTGGACTCAATGCAATGTCAATGCAACATGTGCAAAGGATGGAAATATGACTGAAATTGTGATTATAGGAGCATTGTTTTCAACATCTCCTGCCTCTATCTATCTCAATCATGTAGCCCCCTCCCCTTTCAGAATATACCTGTTCCAAGTACAAATATAATATCTTTGTTTCTCTTTACTGACTTTGGTAATTACATAAAAGTTCAAAATGTGTTTCACAATGTGATTCTGTACAGTGTGTGCCAAGAACAAGACGACACTGAACAGCATTTATACCAAAAGTAACATGTTCATCTGAAACTTAGGTGGTGAGTAGCTATTAGAGGTACCAACTTGAATGTATATTTGGTACTCTATGATACATGTCCAAATGTGGCTATTTAGCAACATTGCTCTACCCTTCAGGTCATGTTCTTGTTGCAGTTGTTATTTTGGGGGCACAGGAACAGTACTATGATAGAAATGTTTATCATGATATTTCTGTGGTCTCTGAATGAGATACAATGTATGTGAGCAGAGTCATGAATGGCAGTGTGAGGGAATGATATTGTGGTCATCACTCTCAAAATGTAGAGTAGTAAAAATGTACAATCTCCATTCTACCGTAGTCATGCCCACATCACAACAGCAGCCAATGGGAAACCAGGGTGGTAACACATTCGGTACACCCCAGCAGCCAATGGGGAACCAGAATAGTTACAGTAGGGGACCAATGGCACAAGGACCTCCCAACAATATGCAGAATATGCAGCAAGGTATTTTTACAATAGGTGTGAAGTGTCTGGCTTGTGTGTAAAATTGTGGATGGGATATCATAAACCATTGATCAATTACCTACAATATTGTGTGATGGTGCAATTTGGCATGTTTCATTTTACACAATGTGTGACTGATACTGTGATAGTATTTCATTGTGCCATTGTGAGGATGTTTTTACATGCATGTTAAATTTACCGGTGACTGTTCTTTGTGACGGTCTACATTTTTGCAATAATGGACACTTGTTATATGTTTGTCAAGGGAATAACATTGAAGTGACCAGTCACAAGCATTTCTTGGAGATCATAAAAGGTATTCAGTCCTGGCTGCAGTAAAGACTAAGAGCCCTGGGTGCTGGTGGTGCAATGTTATAATGTTTGTCCTACTAATATGGGATAAAGATGATTTTATACCCAACATAACCATGACACATTATTGGACTAGGCAAATTCTGTATCTGGCCAGTCACTGGCTTCTATAACATATGTAAACAGGGTTCTCACCAGGATTTTTTCACAGCGTAGGGGTCAGGTATAGAAGGGCAACTTTCTGCGGCGCGAGTCACGCACCGAGTCCCCAAAACATGGGCCTGATATTCTCCCCCAAATATTTTGTAACTCATATTAACCACTTAAGACACTATTTATTGTTTATTGGGTGACAGATTTTGTTTTCCCTCTGTTATAGCTTCTTTCTTAAGTTATATTTTCATTTTTTTAAAGATTAATGAAGCTTCTGCCCCCCAAAACCACCCCTACGCTGGTTGAAACACAGTGTAGGGGGCTAAATCACAGCGTAGGGGGTCAAAATCACAGCGTAGGGGGCCCCTACGCTCAAACAGCCTAGTGAGAACTATGTGTAAAGAATGGCCCTACTACATGTTGCTATTTGAAGTAACGTTACATGTTCTTGTTGGATGTACATGTAAAGTTAGGTAGATAGTCACAGTAACTGCATGTAAAATTGTGCAAAGTGTAGTACAGTTAGGCTGAATCATGTTGGATTCAAACGGACAGAAATATTGGTTGGTTGGTTGAATGGTTGAATGGTTGGTTGACTGGTTGGTTGGTTGGTTGGCTGGTAGGTTGGTTGAATGGTTGGTTGAATGGTTGGTTGGTTGGTTGGTTGGTTGGCTGGTAAGTTGGTTGAATGGTTGGTTGGTTGGTTGGTTGAATGGTTGGTTGAATGGTTGGTTGGTTGGGTTGTTGGTTGGTTGGTGGTTGGTTGGTTGGTTGAATGGGTGGTTGGTTGTTAAAGTGCATAAAATGCTGCAACTGCAATAATCACTTTCTTATTGAATTTACGTCAATACTTTTTGCTGTCACACTTTCCTTGTTTCCTATCTAACTTTGATTAAACCTCCATGGACAGCTGACAGGAGATTTGCTGGTGCCCCAAATCTTAACTTTAAGGACACCTCAATAAATATTCATACTGTAATAAAATGTTATGTAAGCCAGCTATATATAGTCCATGATAAAATGTAATAGAATACTCTTACTCTTCTTTTTATCATCCTCCAACTCTCTACTGCTGAAGTTAATGATAATTTACTTCACTAATTAGATGATAGGATCTTTCAATATTCATAATCTGTGTGAATTATGAAAGATTCTATATGCGTCATCTAAGTGATCATGGGAAAGCATATAAATACATGTAAAATGTATATTCTTTTTTTACTTATAGGCACTTTTTGCATACAAGTACATAATCTTGCACTGTGATTGTAATGGGACAGAATGTGAGCCATAAGAGTAAATTGAAACTGTCTGTGATAAAACATTGCCATTCAAGGGTAATAGAAAGCTTTGAATAGCCTTTTCATTATTGATGTTTTTACAGTATACTGCCTCCAAGGTTTTTAGTACAAGGTAACGTGCTGGAATGTTATAGCTTAACATAAAATGGCATCATGGTTTTGTGGTTGATACTTGGTATTCCCTGCAGAGCCTTTCGTAGCAATCCAATTTTCCAGGAATAAGTCACTGTTATGTGTGGGCTACTTTAAATGTCTCAGAGATGGTAGATGAGTAACTGTTACTACATGTTGGCTCACAGTCCCCATATCAAGACAGATAGATGTTAGGTGTTGGAAGGGCTCAATATACTGTGTGCATGTGCACCAAAATTTGGAGCTGCGCACACAATTTTTTTCTGTGGGTAAACTGGTGCACCCAAATGTTATCGTAGGTTTACTATGTAAAGATGTTAAATGTACATGTATAGTAATATACAGCATATTATTGAAGGGGTACAAAAATAATAAAATCATTGTTATAGTACTGTACATTTATTTAGAAATTAAACATAATTAGTTTTTGCTGACATTCTATTTATATGGTGCACCCCAAAAAATGTTGTGCTCCCAATTTTTTAGGTTGGTTGCGCCAGTGCACCTATTATCCAAAATGAATTTCGAGCCCTGTGTTGGTGATATGTGTATAACAGGAAGTTTTAGGAAGCTGGGACAGAGTGAAGCCTGACTAAGGCCCGCTTTACTCACTGATATCAGGACAGCTTTACATGCACAGCCAGGATATTGCAAGACACCCCATGGATTGAATCGCAGTCGTGACCCATCTAGCTAATATCTAAGTACACTCAATGAGATTTGTCAACTTGTCAGGATCACGAAGATACATGTGATAGGTCGTGAGTGTGAGAAATGACTTCTTTTGTGCCCTAAATCCTATCCTATCTTTATTCTTCTGCCATCTTTGTGCAAGAGACACTCTCGCTATATATCATGAGCCTGACAGCTTGATTTGACATGTGCTGTACATGTACAGTAGCTGTTGTGAACTGAGGTATGGTACAAATAGTTAGGAGCTGTTTTGGGGGATTTGCGTGATAATGGGAAAAAGATATATATATAAGATTCCCCGGAAGAGGCTTTTCGCATTCTGATATTGTCAGTCATGATATAAAAAAATTTGACACTTTAAGTGCGACTAAATCTCACTTCTATAGCAGCAGTCCCACTAGTACTAGTCTGACTGCATTGAGGCATGCTATAGAGCCATGGACAGTAGAGTTATGCTGGGCCTAAGCAGAAGTACTTAGCCACGCACGTTTAAATGAAAATGAACTAATGCACCCAAATTACCCCCCCCCCCCATATTTTCCGACCAACACATGTAATCTCGAATTTGGTCTGCGACATTAAACCATTTATGTGGTGTCAACGTGAATTGCTCTGGGCACTTGTCGCAAATTGCTGGTAAAAAGGTGTAACAACCCGCAATGCTGAACCTGTATGGTATACATGTATGCAAAAAACAGATGCCACTGCTCCAATGTAGCATTACCCCGGCAAGAATATGGTTAAATTGCCACAGTTAGCCTTGTACAATGTATGTATCCTTGAAACTTGCATGCTATAATCCAGGTGAGGTGAAATTGCTAGCTGGCATTATATAGAGGACGATGCACACAGGTTACATAACAAGAAAGGATCAAACCTATAATAGATGCTTGGAATGACCTGTACACATGTATCTGAAGGTCAGGTCACATCCGACATGTAGCTTGACTTCAGGGCAACCCATTTTTATGGGAAGCTGTCAGGGTTATTTCAAACGGATAGATTGAGTCAATGTCATTCCTCTTTCAGTGGGAGAAATGTTTTCCAGAGTTAAAACCCGATTTTGAAAGTACAAACTTCAGTAGCTGAAAGCTCCTACGCTTAAAGAACTTTGTCATGCGTAACAGTTTTAAATCCTTCCTTGTAAGTTGTACAAACTTCAGAACTTAGTAATTTAGTCATGGCTGATATTACACATGTATATACATGATTGTGTGCCTTTACAGAAGCATTGGCTACGGATGGTCTCAAGTTGATATTGGCTCATCCTTGGCTTGTAGTACTACTCTATGTATTTAAGGACCTCTCTAAATGACGGATGGGTATTCCTTGCTGTAGTTTGTAGTGATTAATAACTGTCCACAGTAATGGATTCTAAGGATGTGGCGCCAGGCTTCCAGCCTAGTACCCATCATGGTCGCCGCTTGTGTAATGGTTTTGGCCAGGTTCCATCCTCCCATGAGCTGAAGGGATTTGTAAGAATAATTGTTCCTAACCTGGTTATACAAGTTGCCAGGATGCTGTAACAGTGTAAGCCATGCACTTCGTTACTTGTTAGTGCTTTATGCCCCAGTAAAGGTATAAGTTACTATAACAACAATTCTGTACATTCAGTTCAAGCTGTGAAATACTAAGACTGATTGGTTTGATCTTCTCACAATAATGGGATGGACTCTACTCAATAAGTGTGGTGGGTTCTTTGATGTGCTTAAGGTGTCCCTCTCCTCAAACATGCGGCTACTCTGAAGAATGAAGAAATTAAATTGGTGTTGCCTCAGTTTATAAGATTGGAGGTAGACGTAATTGTTGTTATGAAAAACTTAAACTGTTTTCCAACTCAAAATTTGACTTACCAGAAATTTTCGACTGAATCACTCAGTCTTCCTCAGCTATCTGACCCAAATGCTGTGGACACGTGATTTTTCCCACGTGTGACGTCAGCAAAGGGTCAAAGGTTGTCTGAAGTCGATATCGCCCCCTATCCCGGTTGAGCGATGGTTGAAGTGCCCTGATGTATATGGCCTTTGACCCTTTGCTGACGTCACACGTGGGAAAAATCACGTGTCCACAGCATTTGGGTCAAATAGCTGAGGAAGACTGAGTGATTCAGTCGAAAATTTCTGGTGAGTCAAATTTTGAGTTGGAAAACAGTTTAAGTTTTTCATAATGTAATTTACCAACTCAGATGAACTTTCATGCTGATGTAATTGTTGTTATTTTGTTTCAACATAGGAATGCCCCCGCAAGGGATGCCCCAGTCCCAGGCTCAGCAGCAGGGACAGCCCCCCACCTCTCAGTACAACATGGGACCGTCCGGCCCTCCCCAGGGGGGGTACAACTCCCAACAGCCACCCATGAGCCAGCAGAGCATGATGGGTAACCAGCCGCCACCCAACAGCCAACCCAACGGCATGATGGGACAGCGACAGATGCCGCCACAGTACCAAAGGCCCCCACAGCAGCAAGGTACCCTCACTGTCTGCCATTTACACACTTGACACTACACTACATTTTAACATGTTGTATACATATGTGTATAGTACTGTATTAGATGTACATTTCACATGCTAACACATAATAGATAGAAAATATACCGGTAACAACATTAAAAACTGAAACTTTGTACCTCAATTGTCTGTTGCCACGAGACTTTTTTGAATTCGTGTGCATGAACAAACAAAAAAAAAGCTTCATAATTAGCAGGCAGGTGCTAGTCCTTAGTTTAACCTACCTATACTACCTCCTATACTAGATGGTGTGTTACGCCGAGGAGCGGTTATACCGGCTATACTGATACAGATGCTGATACAGATATACTAACTTTTACGTGTATAGCACGAATAAGCATGAAACATATTTTTTAGCACTCAAAATTACCTGCAAACTGTACATGTACCTGTGCAGGATAACATGAGAAATACATATCCAATCCTATCTGCTCCTACCTGCATATGCAGGTGATATTTCAAGCACTGGAAATACAATCAGGATACTAGTAATGACTAAAAACTCTCATGTCCCATTTGCACCTATTACATAACAGAAACAGATTGATTCTTATTACTTCATTATCTGCAAAACTGATCATTTCTTAGCTCACGGCAGATGTTTCAGATGCAACACAGACAGATGCTAATTTTTTGTACCAGGTTTTGGCTGGTGTTTTATGCCAAAAGGCGGTTATAGTAATTTATACCGGTGATACAGATACAGATATAGGTTCAGACACATGCATCACAATCAAACTCAAAACAGTCATTGAACTACCAAAGTAACAAATTGGACGCATTTATCTTGCAGTCAGGGGATGCAAGATTTAGCCAGTTGTAATGCCAAATGGAGATAAATACACACTGAAGATGTTTTCAGGAGGTATAACAGCCGGGCATCGAAACTTTATTCAATGAAGATTTGTTTTTAGTTGTAATGCCAAACTAAGATAGATATAGCAAAGAAGGCCTCAACACCATGTTTTTGTGCTTGAGCCATATTTTATGCTTAAGTCGGTGACATTATGGAAAAATTCATCCGTCAAGCTCTCTGAGAGCCACCATTCTTATTAATCATAACCAAGAATGTTTCCCTAGTATCTATATTCTTCTCTTGTTGAGTTTTTATATACACTATTTCTCCTAATATTAAAGTACATGTAACAAGAATTACTTTAAAATCGAGAGGCAGTTTCAGGGAGATTACATCATTCCATTGAAATTGAAAAGATTATAAGTTACACAATATATTCATTTCATATCCTGTCAGCATTATTTGTTAGCCCTGCACTACTGCTAAATTGTAAGCTTTGTAGAAATACTTTCTGGACTATTTTCAAATTACCATTCTCGTACTGTAGATTGTTGCAATATTGTGTTTAGTAGTGCTTTTTTGTGTGTGCTCATCCCAATGTAAACTTTACTTCGTTGATTGCACAACAATACATCTGAATCCAGGTCAGTGTTTTTATACACCTGGTTACTAGACCATGCATGTGTTCTTCAGATTTATGCTCATACTGATTATATCCTGTTTTTTGTCCTCTTTTCTTATGTTTCTATTATAATTGATTTTGGATGATATTTTTCAGAGGTAGAATCTCTTCCCTTTCACCTACATGTACCAAGAGCAGTTCCAACGATTACCATGGGGTAAAAGATTGATAAAAAAACTTCTGAAGCAGACAGATTGAATCTGCTTTTGTTGAAGACTGAAATATGTTTGTCGTCCCCACATGGAAAATTATTGGAACAGCCCAATGTTGTACCTGCAAAAGTGTCACTCCTCACCTTTGACCTTTTTCAGGCTTAGGGTCACTTCTGAGGAAAACTGCACATCTTGCACAATATTGTTCAAACGTCGTTTGGACCATCAAAAATTGTTTTTGCTGAAAACACTGTATTAGTACTATTACTGCTCTTTAGCAATGTGAATGTGACCATGCCCTAACATGTATTGGCAACATCTCAGCAATGGTGACCCTTTCACTCTAGCAAACTGCTTTCACACTTCTTTTGCATTTTGTCTCCTTCTAGAACTGTTCTTAGGTATGATTTTGGTTTGAATCATTTCATACTCGAGCCTTTTCTGCCTGATCTCTGAAATGAACTGTACCCAATAAGCTTCCTTTGATGATCTACTATGATTATTTTTTTCACATCTCAGATGGAACAGGTTGCTAAGCAAATGCTTACTGAACTGGTAGGAAACCTGGATTTTCAGTGCGTGTGGTATGAGATAGTACTACTCACACAACCTGGTGACGAAGAACTACTAAATGTGTTCACTTTTGTTTTGGCGACAGGTTATGACTCGTACGATCAGTACGGGCCCGCCCCGCCCGTGCCAGGGCCCAACCAGCAGGACTATTACAGTAGTCCTCAGGACCAGCCACAATTCAATAACCAACAGGACATGGGACAGTATTATCACGATGGTGGTATGTGTCTCACTGCCAGGTCTTGCTTGCAGTGCACAAATGCTTAGAGGAGACTTGCTACCTTCTGATTGACCGTGCACGCTCTCAGGAGCACACTGCCAACCTTCTCTCACATTCAGTACTCACCAGACACCTAGATGTTTCCTAAGATTAAAGGAGAGGGCTCAGATCAGACATTGGCTGGGGATTAAATGAGAGACTGGAGCTATACCAAATGTTGTCAGCAGCTGTTTTACATTATGTACTTGCTACTTTACATAACCTAAACTGTTTAATAACAATAACACGCTGCTGCAGACAAAAATTTAATATTCTAAATGTTCAGTTCTACAAACAAAAAAAACTTGAATGCTTAAAAATTCAATCTAATGTTTGAAGAATCACATCAGTATTGAATATTCTACTGATTCAAAAGCACACTTCTAATATTCAAACTGTTGACTTTGTAGCTCGCTTTGGAAGCTAGGAGTGTAGAAAAATGGCTTAGTGCAACATAAGTCATTATGTGGCATGTCTCTAACCTGTGGAATTAGGGCAGATAACCATGTACAATATGTAACCTACCGGTAATTAGTTAGGTGCTGATTCAGCATAAAAAGACTTTTTTTTTAAAGACTCTCAGGAGCACACTGCCAACCTCCTCTCACATTCAGTACTTGAGTGACTTAGCTTGCAGTCACCTTTAAAACGTTTGCATGCAGCAGATACATGACAACTCGAACTAGGGTTACCTTTTCCGTCCTCTCCCTCTTGAGGAATCTAAACTTTTCCTAAAGTGAATTTTCCGCCTAGTCCACTACTGGTTTACACAGTTGTTTTCATGTGGGGTCCAAATTATTTCTTCTAACTCAAGGCTGTCTCTCAGAGCAATTGAAGTACCGTTTTAGCCTGTTTTGTATGCTCAGGGATATAACTCATCTCTGTGTAAACCAAAGTCAGCAAACTTCACTTCCTCAGTAACAAGTTTGACAGTAACAAATCAAAGCCAAGTTGTGATTTTCTGTCAGTCCCACCTGCTGCACAAGTGCATGGTACAAAAGGCCCTAATTCCCCCTGAAGGTCACAGATCCCCCTGTGTAATTGTGTGATGTCTTCTTGCAGCTGTGGCCTACCCCAGGTCAGACCATTATGAAGATCACGTTCACAAACACACATCCTATTGTGGATACATATGGCTCTTCAGACCATACAATTTGAGATGCTGTACATGTATACACATCTCTCCAATCACACTAAAATTAGCCACACGGTAAAGCCTTGGCTATTGATTGAAATGGTGAAATACGAGGTATCTGGCTCTGAATATTTCATACAAGGGCAAAAGCTGCTGTAAGAAATACAAATCTGATTTTTGCTGCCCAGGAATGAAGATGAATTCCTACGGGTGTGCTCCTAAATCGTTAAAGCGGCGATGCACATAATGGTCTGGTCTGCCTGATAACATGGCCCACAGGACAGGAGTTGGGAGGACAAGTCAGCTAACACTAAAGGTTTCTCCTGGAAGTAGTTGACATTTACAGCATGGATCTTACCATTCAAGCATATCAAATGGCCGAGAACTTACTGACTGGTCTTCTTGGGTAATGCTTGAATAGAATCAGTAATGGGGGGACTATTGTTTAAATCAAACTGTACGGAACGAATGGCAATTTTCATGCTGTACGGTCAACTCTGTCTAATGTTGATGGCATGGAAAGATTTTTTCCACACCAGAATTTTAATCAGAGCTGTCCATCATGCGATGTGAATAAAAAAGTAACCAAATTTATTGCTTGACGACATTGAAAATTGATTTTACATTTCCTGTTCACATTTATAATGCAAAATCTGTATTGATTATCAACGTACAAATTTATAGAGGCAAACTGTATTTTATGATGGACAGCTTTCAAAACTTTCATTCAGCACGTGGAAGGTCTTGTAACTGACCTGCCATGGTGCAACGTAGCTTGGGACCGAAAAACATTTTCCGTTCCAGTCTTGTTCATTTCCAGGCTACAGTTCACCATGTTGAGGTGCAGACATTTTGACGACAGGAAAGTTGAAGAAGAGAGTTGAGCACCTCACATGTACATTTCATAAAACATTCTTGTTTCAGGAAGACATGAACTTTGACCCTCCCACCTACCTTGCCTTGGGCAAGTTCCTCTGATATATATAAACTTCCTTCACTAAATGTTACTTTTGTTTGTTCATTTCAGTTCTAATAAATGTGGCGTGCCTGTCTTTTTTGTGACTTTTGACTTTCTTGTTAGTGAGAAACAGGCTTTTCTTCATGTTATTTTTCACTCTGTTGGCCACCTTTTTCGTGCAGTGTAATTGGTGGAAAGGTACCACACAGGCGGTGTGGGGGTTGGGTACATTTAGTTGTCCATTTCAGGATTTACTAAGTGCCCGGTCATTCTTTTTTTTCATGTGTCTAGGACAACAGCCATATGGCCAGCAGCAGCCGAACTACCCACAGCAGACACCGCCACCTCCACAACAACAACAGTACCCCAACCAGAATCAGGCACCTGGTTATAACCAGCAAGGGCAGCCCGGGTATGGGTCTCCTCCTCAACAGAACTACGGACAACAGGGCCCACCACAGAATCAATATGGCAACTACCCGCAAGGTCCAGGACCGCAGGGCCAGGGGCAACAAAGGTTCCAGCCGTACCCCCGCCCCCCCGCACAGCAGCCTCCCCCTCCCCAGGGCTACGGGGGGTTCAACCAGGGGTACCAGCAAGGTTATCAGGGCTAGGGCTCAATAAAAAATGCCACCACACCATAGATCTACTACCAAACTGTAAAGGGTACTTCCCAGTTTCCATCTTTGACATAAAGCCCTACATGACGAAAGGACAAAACTTTTCCTGACAAGTGCTTTAGATGTGTTCATCAGTTAAGTATTTGCTGGAATTTTGTTTTTACCCAAGCAGGAATGGGCCAAAGTTTCAATAAAACAACATTTATCAAAAAACAGACTTCATGCAACCATGGGATGCTGGGCAGAAAATGAAATGACTTCTCTGGGGCTTGCAGACGCAAAGAAAACGCCACTATACGATGATTGTGACGTATATAACAGACTCATTCCTGCCATGTACATGTAGCACTGACGTGGATTTGACGTTATCTGTATATACAGCTTGTCCTCCGTACAATTATACAACACAAGCTGAAGCATAGCTGTCGAAATGTCACTCAAGAATATCTGCTGAACATGCCCTTGTAAAACCTGACTGCCCGTGTACCAAAGGAAGGCCCGATGCTCATTTTCACTTCAAATATCTAGTGTTAGTATGTTGTTTTGAACCAGGGTCTGTTAGGCTTGACAGTGACGTACTACAGATGATTTATTTTTGTGTGTAGAATTGGCAGGTATACTTCTAAGTTCAAATCATTGTCAAGCAAGGCACATGTAGGTAACGTATCATACCTGGTGACAAACGTACAAATGATGTAGCACTACATTCCAGTCTAGTTCCAAATACATTAAAGATAGTTTCACACACCAAACAAATAAGGAAACATGAAAATATGTTGTTAGCAATTTGTCTGGTACAAAAAAAAACACTTTACAATTCACACTCTTGCTTCATTGATTTTGTAAAGATTTATTTATTAAACAGTATTTCCCTGATATACATGTAGATAATGTGAAGAACCAACCTTTCGTTTATGTACACATGTTGTTGATGATTTTATTACCGTATCTGCTATCATATAGCAGTAAGAATCCTTGCCAATAATGCACAGTATACCAGAACAGTTGCACTCCAGACAAGAAGACATTGTTTCATCCCATGGATTGTAAATGTTTGAGGTAATTGAGGGATGATACAGAAACAGGTATGGGATACATGATGGGGAGAGGGGGGTCATTCTGTGGTGTTAAACCCTTCTCTCGATCACTGTTAGTAACTACATGAAAACATTGTGTACAAAGGACCCATTCAAGCCTCGGCCTACAGATGAACATACATTCAAGGATGTAACAATTAGAGTTTTACGTTTCTAATGAACTTTATAGGTCAAAAGAATTACATGTGGGAGGATTTTTTGTAGATTTTGTTGTCCAGAATTTCTCAACCCTTTCTTCACAGCCATTCCATGTTGCATTGTTTGTGTAGTATTGAGTTTTATCATCAATAAAACACGAGTATTTTTGAAGAAATGTGTGGCTGTTTTGTAGGACAGAAGAACATTTACTACTACTAGTACATGTAGTCAAAAGGGATGGGGTGTTGAAGGTTTGCATCTTGCTCGGGAGTAAAGAAAAAAGATTCAATCAACTTGGCAGTCTTGAACTCAACTGAATTGTGTTGATTTAACATTTTGTTAATTAAAAACAATTTTGTCAACGTTCTGTCAGTTAAAAATATCAACAGTAAAAGTGCGTCAATGATTCAAACCATTTCATATGTTAATACATGTAGTAAAAACCTCTATCTTATATCCTCTGACATATATAATGGACACAACATGAGTATGCCCCATAGGACTAAAGCTTGCTTTCCTGCTTGTCTATAAGCTTCATCAAAGTGGGAAGTTTTTTTTATGGCTTCACCCCTACAATGTATGTGGTCTTGGAGACCTGGTATTACACTAAAATCATCTGAAATTTGGTCTAGGTATGCTTTATATATCTACTAACAACAATTCATCATAATTGTTAGCATACTCTCCCCTTAACTTGTATAATTTGAGACTTTTTGACTTTCTATGCCGAATAGTGAAGTTTACTTACCTTATAGCAATGACTCATCAGTAAGGAATGCAGAGAGCAACTGCCAATAGGCATGAAGCTTTCAAGATGGTATAGCAGTTGTAATCTTGTTGCTGATTGGGTGCTGGACTAATTGAATTAATACTAGTACATTAAATACCTGCTCAGGCTAGAGCATATTGACAGCTGAACTGCATTTAATTGTTTTTAGTATGTTTCTCACACTTTCTTGCAATGTGGGACGTAAACTTTTTTTAATCTTGAAAATCAACAGTTTGCATCAGGCAAATATAAGTCCTTACCAATGATGTATAGGATGTTAGCTACTACATGTAGTATCCAATGGTATCCAAGTCAACTGTTGTGTTTTTAGTTAGACATGTATATCACTTCTTATCATATTTATATAGATGAAAAACAATCTTTTTCTTTGTGTTTCTCACTCTACGCCTGTCACTTCATTGAACGTATTCAACTTTGGGAACCAAACGACCTGATGACCTCTGTAATCTCCAAGCAGATACATGGTGGCATGGGTATTTTCGAGCAGATACAAAGTGGCTTGGCCTCCAAGCAGATATAGGGTGGCATGGATCCTGTCAATCTACATGTTCCAACAGCAAAAGGCATTGGAAGATTCCATTACTGCATGGGGGTATAGACTGTTGGAACATTTCACATTTTGAACAAGGGTGACTTAAGAACAATCCATTTGTGTGGGAGGGGGATGTTTGGTATGGGGAATGTGGTGAAGCCATGCTACGTTTGCTCCTGAGCAAATGTCGGCCTTTCTAGTTAACAGTAAAAGTGCGTCAACGATTCAAACAATGAGTATGCCCCATAGGACTAAAGCTTGCTTTCTTGCTTGTCTATAAGCTTGATCAAAGTGGTAAGTTTTTTAATGACCAGACTGTCTCTCGCGATGGTAACTGGTGTTGGGTTACCTCATGTTGAAATTTTATAGCAGAAGGGATTTAGACTCCTGTCACCAAATATGTGAATGTGTTTGAGTAAGAATTAACAGAGCAGACCATATGGTAAACATTATACATTTGCTTTGCAAACGTTACCTTTCTAGTTTTTTTTTTAGTTTTGATTTTTTGAACAGCTATTCTGTGTATTTCTCCATATGAAGCTGGTTGAGGCCCCTTGCGTGCAACTGTGATGTGTGCACACTTACAGTACGTTCGTGTACAAAGTCCAATGCATGATGCTTTGCGGCAAGTGCCGGTCACAACCTCGTAATGAGTCATCTGGAATAACGCCAATTCTGCTTTCACTTTCACATCCTTGAAGTCTCAAGAACCCCCACACGCTTTTTTAAGTCTCACACGAGCTCTTCTGTTCAAGAACTCCAACAGACGCGACCTGTATAGTAGATCAGGTAGGTACATTCATGTACTACAGGATGCAACTTCACTGATCTATGAAGAAAACGATATTTTGTGTGTTCCATATTTTGTGTATTGCGTGTGTTGTTAATCTCCAAGCAGATCCTAGGGTGGCAAAATGACAATATTAATTGGCCAGAGAGGGTCCAATTTGCCACCCACGATTGGTGGGGGTAGCTACAAAATAAAAAGGGCCATATACTAGTATACATTGTACATAAAAAGGTAACGATCTCCCCCGTCAGCCTCTGCTTGGAGAGTGTGTTTTGTTGCTGTACTATACTTATGGCGCAAGCAACCTTATTGGAACGTATTTTGTGATGTTAGGGCATACTTGACTGGCAGTTGGCAAGCTTTAGAAACCTGAGAAATACATGGAATTAGGACAGACATTGGTCTTGTTCGTCTGTGTGTGATTGGAGTTCGGATTGGCATGAGGAAGAGCGTAGCAGCAGCCTACATCAAGTTTTATCGCTTAACAATTTACTGGGAAACCTCATACCAATTTCAGTTGACAAGTAGTTACTTCCATCAACAAACAAAGAAATGAAGCACGTATTATACCCCCATGGACTGTTTCTTATGTGTCAAGTAGTAATCTCCAAGCAGATCTTTTGATGGCTGCAAGACAGTATCAAATTGGCCAGGTAGTATACATTTGCCAAAACAAAGATACCAGTAAAAAAAATTCCCAGAAACGCATCGAACGTCAAAAGTAAGCCAAAGCCTAAACCTTTATTTGCTTCAATAGAGTCAGTATCATCAGTGCGTGGTGTTTCAGACTGTGTCGTGTCAACATGTTGTCAACCAGTGGTGTCAACCATGTTCCAACGTGAGTCATGTTGAGCAATTGCCCTGTGGCCATGGGCGATGTGAAGTTGCGTAGTTTGTGGGTGGATGCACACGATTTGTATCCCAATGACTGTGGTTAACATATACAGTTCTTCTTCACCCTGTGTTCTATCAATGATTGTGACCCTTGCCACAAACGTTATAATTTGATGAAAATCCCGTAGGTTAAGGCACACTCCGCTTATGAGAAATGTGGACGGAAGTATGTGGCATGGGTAGATTACCCTAGTTGCGCACCTGTTTTATCGTGGAAAAGCACCGCATTGCTTTTGTATGTTGCATTGCTGAGTGAAGGCTTTCTAAAAAAAATGTTGATTTGGGATTTGATTCTAATGTGAATTCCCTACTAGAAGGACGCAGATTTCGCACTTGTATTGACTAGACTGTGTTTTTAACCTAGGCTAGAGATGGCGGACTCAGAAAAGTTACTGCCTGAGGGGAAAGACTGGCGGCTGCAGAATGTCCTGTGGAATGACGAGTAAGCGGGACTTCTTCAATTAATGCTGTTTCTGAACCTGATAATGATATGTCTTACATGAGTCTCCGGCATGATTATGTTATCTTTCTTTATAACTATACAGACTACGGTTGGTGCTACAGCTGTAACGTCACTTTCTGATGAAAGTAGACATAGTAATTACACCTGTAACAGCGTTTTAAAGCACAGGACGAACTAGAAACGTAACGTTTGCAAAGCAAATGTATAATGAATACCTTAGCATATGTTCTGCTCAAAGTTTCACGTAAGGTCAGACAGGAGTCTAAATTCCTTCTGCTATAAAATTATGTAACCCAACACCTGTTACCATGGTAACAGACAGTCTGGTTCAGGTCCTTGACCTTTTTGATTTGGAGAAGAAGAGGAAACAGCAAAAACAATATGTTTTCCTTCGGTAAACATTATTATTCTGTAAGCCCCCAGTAAAATTATGGGTCCAATCACATCAGTGCAGATTTGACCTTTTAAAGTAAGAGCAACAACAACACTGTTCATCCTCAGAGAACGAGAGCGACGGAAGCAGCATGTAGCTGGGTACAAACCGCCGAGCAATTCATCCGTGAGCCAGATAAATATCCAGCTGTACGGCCAGGTCGGCGCTGGGAAGTCCAGCTTCCTCAACACCATCAACTCCATCTACAAAGGCCGCGTGTCCGCACAGGCAATGACCGGGAATCAGGCAACCAGTCTTACTAAAAAGGTATAAAGATTTTACACTCAGTGCACCAAGGGGAAGACACATATATATATCGTATAACAGATCTTTCTGGTCCAGTCACCTCGATTATTTACTGTATCACATCCGAATAAGAGGGAAACATCTTGCAAGGTCAAAACTGTCTACAGTCTCAAATACTGTCTACAGTACTAGTCTCAAATATTGTCTATAAGGAATAATGTTTCCTTCGCATATGGTCTTCTCTGTTGATTCTTACTCAAACACATTCACATATATGGTCAGACAGGAGTCTAAATCCCTCCTGATATAAAATTGCAACATGATATGTAACCTAACACTAGTTACCATGGTGACAGACGTCAGGTTCAGGTCACCGACCTTATTGGTTTGAAGAAGAAGAAGAGGAAACAGCAATAACAATATGTTTTCCTTCGGTAAACATGATTGCAACCTATCTTGTCACCATCAGTACCGTCCCTATGAGGTGCGGGCAGGTCCGGATGGCGAGGCCCTGTGTTTCCGGCTGTGTGACACCATGGGGCTGGAGGACGCCAGTACCGGCCTGCACCTGGACGACGTGTCCTACCTCATAGACGGCAACGTACCGGACGGCTACCAGGTAGGTATCACCTGGTGACTCATCTTCACATTCGTGTGTGTGTGTGTGTGTGTGTGTGTGTGTGTGTGTGTGTGTGTGTGTGTGTGTGTGTGTGTGTGTGTGTGTGTGTGTGTGTGTGTGTGTGTGTGTGTGTGTGTGTGTGTGTGTGTGTGTGTGTGTGTGTGTGTGTGTGTGTGTGTGTGTGTGTGTGTGTGCGCGCGGTTTAGCACGATACCTCTAGACGCTAGGGATGGATTGTCATAAAACTTGGTATCTGTTAAGGTCTTCATATTAAGTTTTATTCTATATTAGGTTTTATTCTTTACCCTTTTTGCACTTTGTTCAATACTTGTTGCCATACATTGTACCATGTGCAATTATCGTGCAATAAAGTTCTTCTATATAGAGGAAATGATTGGATTTTTGACCCCCTTGCGGCTTTTCTTGGCACTGCAGCAGAATGTCTATCTACTATATATAACTGTTATATATTCTACTTTTTCACTGAGAATGACAATGACAACTAAACGAGTTCATAGCATGCATAGTCTCGTTTGTTGAATATTGTTTGTTTCCCCAAACAAAAACACTCAAACACACAAACAGTTTCATGCGGACGTTAGAATCACCCCGGCCACCCCTGGCTTCAAGAGCACGACCAGTCTAAAGGACCGCACTCACTGTGTGGTGCTGGTCATGGACGCCGGCAACATCAGCGTCATGCCACAGGACACCGTGGACAAGCTCAAGGCCATCTATAGGAAGGCACTGGATCGGGGTAAGACACTGATTTCTTCTAGCCTGGTTACCAAACCTATTATAATTATAGCTCCCTGGTCCTATACCCCCTCCGCAAATATTTGCAGAGAGGAGCTATAACAGGTTTGGTAACCAGGCTAGATTTCTTCAACAGTTCGGGTCAAGGATGCCCGTACGTGGCAATGGCGTCAGGTTCGTGAGAATTTCATGTAACTCTTTTTTGTGAAACCTCCGAACACTGCATGCAAAACGTTTAAGAAGACATCATAGAAGTTTCAAATGTCTTTCCAACACAACGAACCTGCTCGGTATTGTGTATTTATGATTAACTCAATTCTGACGCTCTGGCAAAGTGCACTTGGTCGTATTAGTTATTATTCTCTTTGACTGAAACTTTTAAACCATGAGAGAAGCTGAGTAGAAAATTACTTGCCTTGACGAGATGCAGTGCCGTGACGGTGTTAACTGTAACCATCAGGGTCCTGACTATACGGATGTTTTTTTCCAGAAATACCCACCGTGATCTTGCTGACTAAGGTCGACAAAGCGTGCGAACACGTGGCCGATGATCTCTCCCTGGTGTTCCGCAGTAAGTTCGTTCTGGAGAAGGTGCGTTAAGTTGTTCAGATCTGATTATTTATCCCAATTATTTAGCACCGTAATGTATTCTAATGTAAAAAAGTTTTCATGCTAAAAGTTTTTGTTGTGACTAGCACGTTTTTAGACTAAAAGAAAATATGGTGCTAAAAAATTGGGATAAATAACCACAGCTAGTTGTTCCTAAGGCCGAAGCAAGTAATTCTATGATGGCATCAGAGCACGCATTAACTTTCGCCTGACTTTGAAAGAAAAACAACAAGAAAATTTGTTGCCCTTTGACAGTGGTCAACATGCCGAAAATAGGCAAATATGTCTGTTTCCATGCTGGAACTTGGATGGCAGATAAATGTGAAGAGAGGAGACAAGACAAGCCTCTGATTTATTTTTAAAAAATTGTCTTTACGTATTTGCATATCAATCAATAGTTTGTGCTTATAAACCTGCATTTCTCCTCTGGTCTCTCAGTCACTGACAAAAGCTAGTGGATACTAGCTGAAACGTCTGACCATTTCCAAAATCATATCCAAATGCCTGAGGAACTGCTTTTTGGCATATCGTATTACCTGGATGTCTAACCTTCATCGACGTAACAAACTAAATTGGTGTTGCCTTATCGACCCCGGCAGGTGGAGGAGGTGAGCGGGAAGTTCGGTCCGTCGGAGACGCACATCTTCCCGGTACAGAACTACTCCCGCCAGTCCGCCCTGGACACCAAGGTAGACATCCTGGCCCTGGAGGCCATGGCGCAGATCCTCGGCTTCGCGGACGACTATCTGCAGAACAACCTTCCCAAGATCTGTTTAACTGAATCTGTTTAACTGTTAGGTGTTTGTCTGTGCTTTTGTACCAGGATTTCCTGAAAAACAGGCCAGAGTGGCCTGAGTGTGATACCTGGTTGAACAAATAAAAGTTGAAAGTTGAAAGTTGAAAGCCCGTTCTGTAACATACAGGGCTCCAGACTAACATTCTGACTTAGGAGCACTGTGCTCCCAACCCAAAAGTTGGGCGCACCAGAAAAAATCTTGGCGCGCACCACCAAAAAATATCGCCCTATCAACGTAATTTGGAGGACTTTGCATGAATACACTAAAAGGGCTAGCGCTAGCTTTAATTGTTAGGGATCTCCCCAGAAATTTAGTGCAGGGTGGGTGAGGGTGCAAAGCACCTGATGCAGCTTCAGAAAGCACTTCCCCTGTATGCTAGCTGTTACCTTATATGACATTCTCTACACGTAACACTTGCTGATTTTATATCTTAACTACGTAATTGTTTATTTGCTCACAATTTATACGTAGACCTATCGGTATTATGATTTTCAATACTAGAATCTGGATCGAAAGCGGTTACAGCGTTTCCGTGTGAACAGGGCCTTTAGTCACGAAGATTGTCTTTCAACAGTATCACGTTGCTTAGCAGCCGCATTTCCATCTGCAAAGTACGCATGTCATTAACGTACAGGCGCCCGTGTTCAGCCTCGTGAGCTCTAAGGTACATCTGAGTCCGGGGAGAGAGCGCTTGAGCTAATTGTTTTTTGATTGCATGCGCTGCTTACGTGCGTATGTGTTTACCAGGGCCATTAGTGAAGGCTGAATGATCAAGAAAAACTATCATAGACAAAATACACTGTGATATAGTTACTGAATGTTGTGCCGTGCTGGCTACGCTAAAGGAAAGATACTTCTTGAGCTTGTCGAGTCGTGTAAGAAATAATCGTTAATATCCACATCATTTATGACATTTTCTGACCGTAACATCACCAACACAAATATTAAAAGACGTCGTTATAGCGTAGAGTGACAGTTTAGTTTGATTCGGAGGAAGATTTGATTTGGAGTAGTCTTCATGCTGATTGTCAGTTCATATTTCAAACGTTGACAGGGCTGACGTTTAATTCTGTCGTGCACGTTGAGATCATTTATTTTTTTCCAAGAGTTACCGATCAACCGAATCATTTCATTTTGTATGTGTCTGCACTGCGTACTCTTTACAGCACGTTCAGCTGACTCAGACTCGATCGATCCACCGTTATTAACCATTTATAAGCTATAAACTAGCGATCAGGGCCTGCGGTACACTTGTGCGGCGTTCTCAACGTGAGACGAATGATGATGAACGGCGGTAACCTTCACACGGTCCGAGAGAAAACCGTGCGGTAAGCCCACCATGAAAGAACACCGTGCCGTCTTGAATTTTTTGTCGATGACAAGCAGTTGAGCGACACGCCTGGCTTACGTTTTAAACATAATTGGATCTCCTGAGAAGAATTGGGCACGAGAGGTGAGGGTTAGCTGTCATGTTTGCAACTCAGGAGCTTATGTAACGAGGTATGCAACACCGGATTTGATGTATACCCCCCTAATTAATATGGACGCTTGGTGTGCTGAGAGGCGAGAGTTTTCAGCCACACATCCATCTATGTCTAGTTCTGAACCCCCAATCCTGTAGAAGTCAATGTCGCAGCTCGCTTCGCCGAGTGTTATGGATGAATACATATGGACACTGGTTGTTCTACAGTTTGGGTATTTTATTAGCGATTTGTACACGTCAGAAGTGATTCCGTGAAAAAGTATCAAGGTGATACTGAGTTGACCTCAGTATTGAACGCCAACAGCTGGAAGACAAAGGGCCAAGGGCCGTCTTAATAACACGATCGCCATCTGTTTCTGTATAACACCAGCTTCGCAGGCACGCGGCGCGGCAGCAGCTAGCTATATCACACCGAACGACTTGTTACACTCAATCCTTGCACATTTAATTGCAGGAGTTGTTTAAAGCTTTCTAGTGATGATGCCCCAACTGTGCTTAGTGGCAACGAGTTCCAGTCTACGATAGTTCTGGGGATATGCGAGTTTTTGAACACCTCTTGGCTGATAACTCTGATATTTGAAGGCATGACTGTTTCATGTTCTTTTCTATCAGATACTTAGTGGTTGGTACGTCCACCAGTTTATTAGTCATTTAGTACATCATGCATAGTCTAGTCTGCTTGGTGTAGCTTTGTGGTTAGTACTGTTAACCCATTAACTCATTGACTTTGACTTAACCCAAGAAGAATGCCCCGGCCAAAACTAGGTACTCCTCTTAACCTGCGTTAAGTAATCCGTGAAAAATCCGTGTACCTTCCCATAGATCTATATATAGAGAGAACAACCTCGAGGCCATGGGTATGGGTAAATGTGCCTGCTAGAGATTCGAAGTCAAAGCCCCAAATTCTGGGTTGTGACCTCGGCTTAAATACCCTTACCTGACCAAACAATACATGGCCGCAATTGCAAATGCAACTGAAATCAAGTGTCTTCATCAGCTTAAGCTTCCTCTAAGTCTATAAAACATGAGGTGACTGATTTGAGTCAGCAAACGTCAGTTTTGATGAAGACGACCTTTGACTACTACCAGAAAGTATTTGAACAAATGAAACAGAACTTCCCTTAATTCTACTTTAAAAACTACCTACCGACCGACGACTAATCCATCAATTTGCGAACCAAAACGACCCAATCCTGATTTATGGCAAGAACTAAAGGTTAATAATCAAGGAGTAAGGTAATACGTCTTCGTTAAATTTTCATATGACTGAAAGTGTCTGTGAAGATGCCAATTTGCCAAATTGTTCCTTTTTTGGAGATTTGATTCTAAATTCACCCAGAGTGCTACCAAAGCTTAAAGCGTCGTTCCGTCACATACTCTCCGTTTCGTGGTTCCTATGAAGGTAGAATATTAGTCTCCACCAGACTCCTTTTGCAGTAGAAATTGGCTTAAAAAGAAAATATCTCCTCTCTGGCCAAAGATATTCCCTTTTTTGGCCAATTTCTACTATTCATCAGCCTGCAAAAGGAGTCTGGTGGACACTAGTAGAATATTGCTGAGCATAACTTTTGGGTGATGTGTGCCAATTACATTTATTTCGGAGGGTAAATGTTTTCGGCGTGCTTGTCAGTGATTTTTCATACTGTAAAGTCACAGGAAATGAGGAGGAATGGTGTAACCTCAGACTGACAGGAAGGTTATGAATAAATGACAGTGGAATATACACAGACTCAGAGAGAAATCCCAGAAATGAATAGAAGAGGAAATTCACAACTTTAAATACTTCACGGAGCCTGATCGGAGGTACACGTACGAAATCTTGTCCTTGTCAGATCTTCCGGTGAATACTCCTTTCAATTTCGTCGTTTCAAACGCCATTTTGAAGTCTTCATTTTTCCCGTGTCTCAATAAGTGGACTAGAATTGAATAAAGCGGACAGATCGCAAACATCTGTCACTGTCAGTGAAGGCTCTGGAGAGAGTAAAGGATCTGCGAGCAGGCAATGTGAGGAGATCAAATTGTGAAATCTTGGGCTTTCTATGATGAGACGTATTTGAAGATCAAAGGAATCTCTGTAAGCCGGTTCACCATCATCCAACTGTAGACTTAAATGTTTCATGTCCACCATAAAGAATCAATATACAGCATTATAAGGGTCTTTGATGAAGTAAGTAAGATGAGGTTCAAAATATGTTCTTCCTATTTGGGTATTTTATTTCGACAAGACTTGTTACTGGGATGTTTCTACAATAGACTGTATAATTTATTTTACTAATACATTGAGATTTATCACGTTTGTGGAAGGATTGACATAATCTCCTTATTAAGGCTCTCACTAGGAAGGGCCCCTGTATCGTTATTCTGAAGGACACTGCAACAAATCACTCTGACAGTAACCTTGCAGTTAAATGAAGATGAATGGTACGACACTGACTTACTGTGGATTCTGTGGAATAAGAAATATGGAAATTCTGTATTCAATAGTGTTCCATCTAAATTATCAAAGGACACGTCAAGATATATGGGTTGATTAGGATTCACAGGCGAAATTCTGCCGGCCAACTCCGAAAGTTTCCCAACAATAGCCTGGATGCCAGACTGTTTCCAGGGCCTATACAGGCCAGCTCCCAGGCTCTAGGACAAACATATTATAGCTAGAGCACGAAATGTTACCACAGACACGCCTTAGTTGTTGGTCAGGGTCCATGAGCCGAAGCCGTCCTGTGTAGGCACTAACACTAGTAACAGTCTTCCATCCAGGCTATCCAAGCAACAATCCATCCGACTCCTTTATGACTTGCACTCCATCGCCGATGTCCCTATAAGTGCACAGCACCCAGTTTGTTTACTACTAACACTAGAACTACATCCCGTCAAGACAAGATAAGATGACACAAACATGGCTCACGTTCCAGCTAGATCAAAGGGTTGTGATCTGGCTGTGATGTTATCAAATGATGTGCGTCACAGCTTGTTATTTTCTCTCTCCTGTTTAATCGTTGATCGCACGAAAACAACTTCAAGGGTTGCGTGACAGGATGTTTGATTCTGTGCGTAAACGGCCCTGAGCATCGCCTGTTTCAAACGTTCCTCCTCTCTGATAGTCCTCCGCTTCCGATGATGATGTTAACTGAACTCAGCAGCGCCAATGAGAAGATGCCGTGACAGCTGAAGGCCGAAGCTTTGGTGGGCCCACGCCTCCTACAGGTTTGCCGTCTGTTCCGGTGTCGACACTCCCTTGTGCCGCCTGTCCTTGGAAAACCTGCCTACCTGCCTACGTGCTCATCTGGCCCCTTGTTCCTCCTCCTCGTCTGGTTTCTTTAGCCAGCTCTATCCAAGGCCACAGTCTCGGCTTGACCCTTAGGGTGAGCCCTTGGTCTGTTTCTATCTAGTCTTTCCACCTTTTCGGTGGTCCTCCCGGCCGGGTCCCTGGAACATCCAGACGGTATTCCCTCCATGTCCTCTCTGAAAACAGCTGTTCAAGTGGTCAGACGCTGCTTCATTCAGGACCTTTCCCCCGACACTGCCCCCCGAACATCAGCTGACCAGGGTACGCTGAACATCGGGAGCAATCT